AGCAGAGTGGTTTGGAACAACTAGGAGAGACGAGCTTGTCTGTCAGTTTGCTGTCCTGTGGTTGCTTGCGTGTTGCTGTGAGGCTGGAGGCTATGTCACTGGTGTTTCAAATGCCACAAGGGTCACCCATGGTGGACAGGTTTCAGCAGAGCTTCCAGACTAAGACAGACTCTGAAGAAGGAAGAGGCCATCCACTTCTCAAAGACTTAGCCAGTGAAAACCTTATGAACAGTAATGAAACGCTTCCTGATATATTATTGGCAAATTTTATGAATAGCCCTGAAAATTGTCTGATATAGTGCCAGAAGATGAGCTTCCTCAGAGTAAAGCTGACCTTAATGATGTAGTTGGAGTAAAGCTTTCAGGACATGCATTCACTGATGTGGCACCACTCAAGATGAGAAGAAACAACTGCAAGCATCCATTAGTAATTGGAACATGGAATGTACAAAATATGAAACTAAGAAAATTGACAGTTGTCAAAAATGAAATGGAACACATAAAGATTGATATTCTAGGCATTAGTCAGCTGAAATGGACTGGTTTTGGCCATTTTGAATCAGACAACCACATGATGTACCATGCTGGGAATGACAAATTGAAGAGGAATGGTGTGGCATTCGTCATCACAAGGAACGTTTCAAGATCTGTCTTGAAGTACGATGATGTCAGAGATAGGATGATATCCATATGCCTACAAGGAAGACCCAATAATACTACTATTACTCAAATTTATGCACCAACCACCAAAGCCAAAGATGAGGAAATTGAAGATTTTTACCAACTTCTGCAGTCTGAAATTGACCAAATGTGCAATCAGGGTATATTGATTATCACTGGTGATTGGAATGCAAAAGTTGGAAGCAAAGAAGAATCACCGGTAGTTGGAAAATACGGCCTTGGTGACAGAAGTAACACTGGAGATCACATGGTAGAATTTTGCAAGATCAACGACTTATTCATTGCAAATACATGTTTTCTACAATGCAAACGTCAGCTATACACATGGACTTTGCCAGATGGAGTGCACAGGAATCAGATTGACTACACCTGTGGCAAGAAGTGATGGAAAAGCTCAATATCTTCAGCCAAAACCAGGCCAGGAGCTGATAGTGGAACAGATCATCAGGTGCTCATATGCAAGTTCCAGTTGAAGCTGAAGAAAATTAAAACAAGTCCAAATATGACCTTGATTATATCCTTCCTGAATTTAGAGACCATCTAAAGAATAGATTTGATGCACTGAACACCGGTGACCAAACACCAGAGGAATTGAGGGATGCCATCAAGAACATCATCCATGAAGAAAGCAAAAGGTCATTAAAAAGACAGGCAAGGAAGAAAAGACCGAAATGGCTGTCAGAAGAGATTCTGAAACTTGCCCTTGAACAGAGAGTAGCTAAAACAAATGCAAGAAATGATTGAACAGAAAATTTCAAAGAGCAGCTCGAGAAAGCAAAGTCAATTATTATAATGAAATGTGCAAAGATCTGGAGTTAGAAAACCAAAAGGGAAGAACACACTTGGCATTTATCAGGCTGAAAGAACTGAAGAAAAAATTCAAGCCTCGAGTTGCAATATTGACATATTCTATGGGCAAAATATTGAATGATGTAGGAAGCATTAAAAGAAGATGGAAGGAATACACAGAGTCACTGTCCCAAAAAGAACTGGTCGATGTTCATCCATTTCAGGAGGTGGCATATGATGAAGAGCCAGTGGTATTGAAGGAAGAAGTTGAAGGTGCTCTGAAGGAAGTGGTGAAAAACAAGGCTCCAGGAATTGACGGAATACCCATTGAGATGTTTCAACTAACGAATGCTGCACTTGCGGCACTCACTTGGTTGTGTCAAGAGATTTGGAAGACAGCTACCTGGCCAGCTGACTGGAAGAGATCCATATTTGTACCCATTCCACAGAATGTGGAAATTATTGAGCAATATCATTAATATCACACACAAGTAAAATCTTATTGAAGATAATTCAAAAAATGGTTGCAGCAGTATATTGTCAGAGAACTTCTACAAATGCAGGCTGGATTCAGAAGAGGATGTGGAATGAGGATATCATTGCTGATGTCAGATGGATCTTGGCTGGAAGTAAAGAATATCAGAAAGGTGTTTACTTGTGTTTTATTGACTATGCAAAAGCATTTGATTGTGTGGATCATAACAAATTATGGATAACATTGAGAAGAATGGGAATTCCAGCATACTTAATTGTACTTATGAGGAACCTGTACATAGACCAGGAAGCTGTCGTTTGAACAGAACAAAGAGATACTGCATGGTTTAAAATCAGGAAGGGAGTGTGTCAGGGTTGTATCCTTTCACCATACTTATTCAATCTGTATGTGGAGCAAATCATCCGAGAAGCTGGACTATATGGAGAAGAGTGTGGTATCAGGATTGGAGGAAGACTCATTAACAACCTGAGATATGCAGATGACACAACTTTGCTTGCTGAAAATGAGGATGACTTGAAGTACTTACTGATGAAGATTGAAGACTACAGTCTACAATATGGATTGCACCTTAATATAAAGAAAACGAAAATCCTCACAACTGGACCAATAAGCAGCATCATGAAAAATGGAGAAAAGATTGAAGTTGTCAAAGAGTTCATATTCCTTGTTTGTACAATCAACACCACTGGAAGCAACAGTTAAGACATCAGAAGACATACTGCATTGGGCAAATATGCTGCAAAATACCTCTTTTTCAAGTGCTGAAAAGCAAAGATGTCTCTTTGAAGACTAAGGTGCACCTAACCCGGGCCATAGTGTTTTGAATTGCCTTATATGCGTGTGAGAGCTGGACAGTGAATAAGGAAGACTGAAGAAGAGTTGATGCTTTTGAAAGTTGTGATATTGGCAAAGAATATTGAAAGTACCATGGACTGCCAGAGAAGTAACAGATCTGTCCTGGAAGAAGTATATCCGGAATGCCCCTTGGAAGCAATAATGGCCAGGCTTCGTTTCATCTACTTTGGTCATGTTGTCAGAAGGGACCATTCTCTGGAGAAGGATATCATGCTTGGTAACGTGGGGGGTCCACCAAGAAGGGGAAGGGTCTCAAGAAGATAGATTGACACAGTGGCTGCCATGGTGGGCTCAGGTATAGCAGGGATTGTGGGGCTGGCACAGGACCGGGCAGTGTTTCATTCTGTTGTACATAAGGTCACTGAGTCAGAGACGACTCGACGGCACCTAACAGCAACAACAACGTATGTTCTTGGAGAACTGACCCTTTATCCTGATCTAACGTCCCTCTTCCATCAACTGTGTATCAGTTTGTCATATTGTGGTGGCTTTGTGTTGCTGTTCCTTGGTTTATAATCAACAAAGGAGTGCATCCTTTCCCTAGAGTTACTCAATCTGTAGGCTACTGATGAAGATTAAAGACGACAGTCTGCAGTCTGTATTACACCTTAACATAAAGAAAACGAAAATGCTTACAACTGGACCAATAAGCAACACCATGATAAATGGAGAAGAGATTGAAGTGGTCAAGAATTTCATTTTACTTGGATCCAAGTCCACATCTATGGAGACAGCAGTCAGGAGATCAAACAGTGTCCTGCACTGGGCAAATCTGCTGCAAAAGACCTCTTTAAAGGGTTAAAAAGCAAAGTTTTCACTTTGAGGACTAAGGTGTGCGACCCAAGCCATGGCATTTTCAATTACCTCATAGGCATGTGAAAGCTGGACAATGATTAAGGAAGACCAAGGCAGTACGGTGTTGACAAAGAAGGCTGAACATGCCACGGGCGGCCAGAGGGACAGAGCGAAATGCCTCGGCAGAAGCACAGCCAGAGCGCTCCTTGGAAGGGTGGCAAGACTCCGTCGCCCAAACCTCGGGCGCGTGATCGGGAGGGACCAGTCCCTGGAGGGGACGTCCTGCTGGTAATGCGGAAGGTCAGCAGGAAAAGAGGGAGACCCTCAAGGAGATGGAGTGACGCGGTGGCTGCAGCGGTGGGCTCAAGTGCAGCAAGGTGCGAGGTTGGCGCAGGAGGGGCCAGGGTTTCGTTCTGTTGCGCGTGGCGGCGAATGCGTCTGAACGACTCAGTGGCATCTAGCAACAGTGTCCCTGTCTGTCCTGGTGCTACTCCTCTCTCTGAAGCCTAAGTTGTCTGATGTTAACACAACTACTCCAGCTTGCTTTTGTTTTGTGTTTGCCTGGTGACGACTCTTCCGTCCACTTCTGTTGGACCTCCCCACGTCTTTATATTCTTATATTTGAAATGGGCCTGCGACACACTCCTGTTCCTCTCATGCATGTTTCACACAGGGTGGAAATTGTGTGTGTTAGTCCACCCCTCTCCCGGGCAGTGGGGACTGGAGACTGGGTGCGTGCTCCTAGCCGCTTCTGCTAGCTAGAGCAGATGTGGGCCCTCCTTGCACACTGGCAAGATGCTCACTGCACAGAATAGTCAGATTCCGTGGCTGGAGAGCACACTGCCCCAACAACGTCCCGCTGGGTGGGGCTGAGCCAGCCTGCAGCTCTTGGCAGCAAACGTGGGGTTGGTAGCCTTGCTCGGATGCCCGTCCCTGTGCCCAGCCCTACCGCTCGGCGACTGAGCAGTCAGGCTCAGAGCAGCGAGCAAACAGCTTTGCAGAGCTGAGGGGGGAATCTTTCAGAGAAGAGGAGGCTGCTGGCGGAGCAGCACTAGGCCACAGCGGCACAGACTGGCCACAGAGACCACCGAGGGGGCGTGGCAGCCTCGCGAGCTGTCCCCGCGCTGACTCGGTGCCGGAGAGGCCGGCTCCATCTCCCAGCCTGAGTCCTGCCTGCCAGACCCTCATAGTCGGGGCTGCTTTCTGATGACACGCTCGGGGTCCTTACCTGGTGGAGTGTCCCCGAGCCCAGCTTGAGAGCAGGACTGTTCCCTGTGTGAGTGTGACGGACAGGACCACAATGGCCCGTGAAAGAACGGCCCTATGGTGGGAAGGGTGCAGTGTGGTGTGCCCAGCTTGAATGCAGTGTTGTGGCTGAGGTGGCATGTCCTTGTGGGTCCTCCCTGCCTCTTCTGAGCACAGTGACACACAGGTGTGGTCCTATATCGGGGTTGCTCCAGGGTCGGGGACCCTGGACCCCTGTGAGGGCCGAGTGCCTGGCCAGCCCCATCTCCTGGTGGCCTGGAGGCTGTGGCAGTGCAGGTCCCTCCGTGCCACCGACATGACCCCTCCTTTCTCTTCTAGGGCCCGAGACAATGATCCCACCGGGGGAGTGCCTGTACGCCGGGCGGAAGCGGAGAAAACCCGTCCAGAAACAGTGAGGAGTGTTTGTGTTGTCCTGTGTGTCGCCAGTGAAGAAGGGGGCTTTAGGGACCCAGTGGGGGCGGGGAGCTTCGGACCGTCCTGGTGATGGTGCACTGGCTGGTCCGCGGAGCGCGAGGGCCGAGCCTGGGCATCCCCGTGCCCTGGCACCTGGCCTCTGGGCTTCTCTGTGGACCCTCATTCGCACCACCAGCTGCTCTTCTGTGAATTTGGGACGTCCGTCGTGTGGAGCTGTGGTCAGGGGGCTCTGTTACCTCTGATGAAGGTCACATTAGGCAGCACTGTGCCTGGTCCTGGCCCGACATCCACCCCAAGGAGGACACGCAGTCCCTGGCCCCTTTGCTGGGTCTCATCCCCTTGGATCTGTCCCTGGGGAGACGGCAGCAAGCTGCTTTCTGAGCTTCACTGGCCAATGCCGAGGAGCCCCGGTGCCGGCAGGTCCTGCCAGCGGACCCCTCCCCAGACTAGCTCTGTCCCTGGAGCAGGAGGCCACGCGGAGCTGTCCGTGCCCGTAGGAGGGGGGGCTTTCCTCAGGCTAAGCCACCCTCCTTGGCCTCTCGCCCAGGACCCTGTGGATGTGCTCTGAGACTGTCCACATCTGAGTGTCCGTGTGTGTGTATACATGGGTGTGTGTGTTCATATGTGTGAGTGTGTCTGTAAGTTTGCCTGTCTGTGTTTAGGTGTGTGTGTGCGTGTGTGTGTGTGTGTGTGTGGCTCTCTGTGCCTGTGACAGAGGCTCCCAGGAATGGGCCCCACATGCCCTACGCAGGTGAAGCCTCTGCCGTTCCCCTGGGCCTAGAGGCTTTGCTCTACTGTGGCAGTCGTGCGAGGAACGCAGGGCTGAGAGGCTGCTGGTGGGCAGAGGGACAGCCAGTTCCCAGGGTGGGGGTGGCTGGTGCCACGTTTGCCCACATCTGTGTTCTTCCCCATGTGTGTGAACCCAGACTCCATGACAGCTGGTCAGCACACTCTGAGAACATGCTGGGGCGAGGCGCCCCCCTGCCAGGGAGCACCCCCCACCCCCCGCAGGCCCAAGGCAGGCTCTCTCCTGCCATGTTGTCCAGTCCAGGGTGATCCAGACGAAGAGCCCAGGCTCAGGCTCAGGGGGTGTCCAGTCACCTGCTGAGACATGGCAGTGCTGCTGGTCAGTGTGGGAGGGCTGGTGCTGGCCCCGGCAGCTGTGCTCTGCAGGGGGGAGCTGGCCAGGGGCGTACCGTGGCCCACGCCCCAGGGCGGGCAGGGCAGAGGCAAGGGCACGTGGAAGGGGCTGAGTGCTTCCAGGGACAGGCGTGTGGCTGACACATTTGTTTTGGTAAACATGTTTGTTTCATTAACTGGGAAAGAGAACTGCCTCAGCCAGGCACTGGGCCGGGGTCCTGCCCTCACTGCACTCCTGCCCGGAGTCAGGGAGAGATGGGAGCAGTTCCTGGTGGTATTATCTCTGTTTCCACCAGAAGGTCTGCCCACGTGGCTTTTTCAATTGTAGTGAGGGATGTGTTTACATAAGTGGTATGTTCTACTCACTGCCAGCCTGTCAATCCCAACTCATAGCAACCTCCTTTGGGTTTCCAAGGAGATAAATCTTTACGGAAGTAGATTGCCCACTCTTCCTTCTGAGGTGTGGCTGGTGGGTTTGAACCACCAACCTTCTGGTTAGCAGTCAAATGCCTCAGGCAGTATGCCTCCAGAGCTCCTGAAGTAGTATGTTGTTGTTGTTAGGTGCTGTCGAGTCGTCTGAGCCATAGTGACCCTATGCACAGCAGAACAAAACACTGCCCGGGCCTGCACCAGCCTCACGGTCCTTGCTATGCCTGAGCCCATTGTTGCAGCCACCGTGTCAGCCCATCTCGTTGAGGGCCTTCCCCTTCTTCGTGGACCCTCCACTTTACCAAGCATGACATCCTTCTCTGGGGAATGGTCCCTTCTGACAACAGGACCAAAGTAGGTGAGACAAAGTCTGGCCATTCTCGCTTCCAAGGAGCATTCTGGCTGCACTTCCTCCAGGACAGATCTGTTAGTTCTTTTAGCAGTCCCCGGAACTTTCAGCATTCTCCGCCAGCACCACAACTCAAAAGCATCAACTCTTCTTCAGTCTTTCTTATTCATTGTCAGCTCCCCCATGCATATGAAGTGATTGAAAATATCACGGCTTGGGTCAGGCACACCGTAGTCCTCAAGGAGACATCTTTGCTCCTCATCACGTAGAAGAGGTCTTTTGCAGCAGTTTTGATCAGCCACTCCTTGGAAGGAAGATGGGGCAATATTCTTCCATAGTGATACTGCCTCAGAAACCCAAGGAGGGGTCGCTATGAGTCAGGTCCGACTCAACAAAACATAACAACAACAAGAACATACGTTGTCTGATGTCCTTACTGCTCCTTCCACGAGTGTTGATTGTAGAACTAAGTAATGTGAAGTCTTTGACAACTTCAATCTTTCCTCCATCCACCGTGAAGCTGTTTATTGGACCAGTTGAAGATTTTTGTTTTCTTTATATTGAGGTGTAATCCATACTGCAGACTGAAGTCTTTAATCTTCATCAGTAAGTGCTTCAAGTCATCCTCACTTTCAGCAAGCAAAGTTGTGTCATCTGCGTATCACAGGTTGTTAATGAGTCTTTCTCCAATCCTGATGCCTCCTATTCACTGTCCACGTTCGGATTATTTGCTCAGCATACAAGTTGAGTAAGTATGGTGAGAGGATACAACCTTGATGTATTTAAACCATGCGTTATCCCCTTGTTCTGCTTGAATGATAGCCTCTTGATCTATGTACAGGTTCCTCATGAGTACAACGAAGTGTTCTGGAATTCCCATTCTTCTCAATGTTATCCACAATTTGTCATGATCCAGACAATCGAATGCTTTGGTATATGTTATGTTCTTGTTGTTGTTAAGTGCCATCGAGTCATTTCCGACTCATAGCGACCCCATGCACAGCAGAACGAAACACTGCCTGATCCCGCGCCAGCCCCACAATCCCTGCTATACTTGAGCCCATCATTGCAGCCATCGTGTCAATCCATCTCGTTGAAGGCTTCCCCCTCTTTCGTTGACCCTGCACCCTACCAAGCATGACATCCTTCTCCAGGGAATGGTCCCTTCTTACAACATGACCAAAATAGGTGAGACGAAGTCTGGCCATTCTTGCTTCCAAGGAGCATTCTGGCTGCACTTCCTCCAGGACAGATCTGTTAGTTCTTTTAGCAGTCCACGGAACTTTCAGCATTCTCCGCCAGCACCACAACTCAAAAGCATCAACTCTTCTTCGGTCTTCCTTATTCATTGTCCAGCTCTCACATGCATACGAGGTGATTGGAAATATCATGGCTTGTGTCAGGCGCACCTTAGTCCTCAAGGAGATATCCTTGCTCCTCAGCACTTGAAACAGTTCCTTCACAGTTGACTTCCCCAATGCTACATGTCGTCTAATGTCCTGACTGCTGCTTCTGTTGGCATCGATTGTAGAACCAAGCAACGTGAATCCCTTGACAACCTCAGTCTTCTCTCCATTTATTGTGATGCTGCTCATTGGTCCAGTTGTGAGGATTTTTGTTTTCTTTCTATTGAGACGTAATCCATACTGCAGACTGTATTCTTCAATATCACTTTCAGCAAGCAAAGTTGTATCATCTGCATATCTCAGGTTGTTAATGATTCTTCCTCCAATCCTGATACCACGTTCTTCCTCATATAGTCCAGCTTCTCGGATTATTTGCTCAGCATATAGATTGAATAAGTGTGGAGAAAGAATACAACCCTGATGCACTCCCTTCTCGATTTTAAACCATGTAGTGTCCCCTTGTTCTGTTCGAACGACAGCCTCCTGGTCAAGGTACAGATTCCTCATGAGTACGGTCAAGTGCTCGGGAATTCCCATTCTTGTCAATGTTATCCATAATTTGTCATGATCCACACAATCAAATGCCTTTGCATAGTCAATAAAACAAAAGTAAATATCTTTCTGGTATTCTCTGCCTTGAGCCAAGATCCATCTGACAACAGCTATGATATCCCTTGTTCCACGTCCTCTTCTGAATCCAGCTTGCACCTCTAGAAGTTCTCTGTCAATATACTGCTGCAAACGTTTCTGAATTATCTTCAGTAAGATCTTACTTGCGTGTGATTTGAATGATATTGTTCTATAATTTCCACATTCTGTGGGATCACCTTTCTTTGGAATGGGCACAAATATGGATCTCTTCCAGTCAGTTGGCCAGGTAGCTGTCTTCCAAATCTCTTGGCATAACTGAGTGAGTGCCTCCAATGGGGCATCTGTTTGTTGAAATATCTCAATCGGTATGCCATCAATTCCCAGAGCCTTGTTCTTCGCCAGTTCTTTCATTGCATTACCATTGGTTCTAGATCATATGTCACTTCCTGAAATGGATGAAGATTGATCAGTTCTTTTTGGTACAGTGACTCTGTGTATTCCTGCCATCTTCTCTTGATGTTTGCTGCACCATTCAATATTTTGCCCATAGACTCTCTCAATATTGCAACTCGAGGCTTCAATTTTTTCTTCAGTTCTTTCAGTTTGAGAAATGCCGAGCGTTTATGTTATGTTAGCAAGGATCAAAACTCAGAGGGAAGGGTCCCTCCCTGCCCAGTTCCTGTCCAGTGCCAACAGTTTGAGGGCCTTCCTGAGAGACTCTGCCATGGCTGGTGGGTGTTCTCCTTTGAGTCCTGTGCACAGTGGAGGGGGTTCCACGTCAGGATGCGTTTCTCTGGCCTCGCCTGCTAGGATCTCCATGCCTGCCCTCTGCTAATGCCTGTTTAGACGTTTCCAGGGGTCAGCCTCGCACATCACTTTGTGCGCTCACTGTTGGGGGAGGTATGGGTGCCGTGTGTCCCTCCTGTGTGTCCCTACACCCCTGCACCCCCCCCTCCATTCTCTCAGCCTAGCCACCTCCTTGACAGTTTGCAGCCAGCAGCCCTGAGCAGGGGTGGTGGGTCCCTTCTGCTGATGGAGTAGGCCATGGCCCGCACGTTCCTG